CTCACACTCTTTCAGTTGAGCAGCGCACTTATTAGGTCCAATCAATCAATGCTCACTCATTAGGAACCTCCCCTCAAGTATCCTCTGGATGGCCTCACACAGCAAGAGTCAAAAATTACCTCATAATTGCTGCTCAGGCATCATAACAAGCTAGGCTGCCCCGGTGACACGGCCATACAAACAGGTCTTACACAGGAATTGATGGATACTGGAGAATCGTATTATATATTGCCATATCCAATTAGATACAGCACATAAAGCAGCAGATCCATTCCCTCTTTTCGCAACGTCCAAACCACCACTCGGATATAAAGACGTGAAATGCATTTTCATATTTTCTCCTCACCCCCCTCCCCTCCCCTCGGCTTGGTGTGTCACTGCAAATGATAACATCCTGAGGATTTATTGTACATTTGACACACCAGTAACCAAATTATAATTCAGTTGCTGCGGCATATTCATAGAACCACTGTACAAATCGCACAGAGAGAGTGTTCAGTCAGCATGTATTAGTGCGGAGCGGATCCAAAGGTCAACAGTTAGCTCCGACACTGTGGTTTGAAGTTATGCATGATGAGCTTCACCGTTTTACTGTATTACCGGAAAAAAAGAGCACTTTCTTAGTATTGTCAGAACTATATTTTAACACAGCTCCTACCACATGTGGAGCTTCAGCATGTCCCTGATTTCTCTTTATTTAATGATGAACAGTATTGAACGGATGATAAATCGATCCATACTGCATGTACACTTTTATTTTGCTGTGCAACTTTTGAGACGTAGTTATTCAGCTTCCTCATGAGCAATCTACAGAATGAAGTCTTCACATTAAGATAATTACTGCTCATCCAGCTATGAGTAATAACATTAATGTCACAGTTTGATATAGAACAAGTTTAGTTTGGAATAGAATACAAATCATAGCTTCGCAGCCTGTTTCATGAATAACATGTACAATAAATCAATATTTCACCACTCCCGTGTTAACTTAAATCGCTAGTTTTTCATCTAAATAAAAATGTCTTCATATAATACTCTGCTAAGCTTTTGAACTTTTTTAAGATCAAATACGCCTTACATTTTTGTCAGAGACACTCAATGTTATGTCTTCTTTTACTGTTGATATTTGATTTAAACTGAGTTTTTGATGAGCAAAGATAGTGACAGCTGCCGATTAGAGCCAATCAGATCATCCCACCGCTCGTGTGTGTGTGTGTGTGTGTGTGTGTGTGTGGGTGTGTATAGAGTAAGAAAATATATATTTATATTCCAGAGGATGCTGTTGTCATCTGGCATGCTGCAGTCAATTTGAGCTTGATTGACAGATACATCCAAGTTCACAGTTTATTGGTTTCGGAGGAGAGAGCCAGATATGCCAATTTAGACAGGAAAGTGACAAAGAAGTTTCCATCTAAATAGAATAATTCTGCTTCTGGGAATTCTCAGCTGGGGAGAGGAAAGAGTCAAGCTCCCTTTTTTCCCCCTTCTCCTCCTTTTAACAAGGGCTGTGAATGACAAACATATACCACGGTTAGGGGCTGACAGAACATCCGCTTCTGATGCTTCACAGGGGAGCTATGAAATAAACAACAGGCAGAGAAATTGAATTACAAAGCAAAAAGGGGCTCTCTCCTCGTGGACCCAGAGGCATCAGAGTGCACCAAAAAACAGCTCAGCTCAGTATGTTTTAGAGGAGCTTGCTTTTCTCTTTTTATGTCTTTGAAAATTTGAAGAAATGTGATAGAATGATGGAAACTCAGTTTATATCATACCCCTCTTATCCATGCACGACCACAGGGTCAAACTCGCCTTTTTCCATTAAAACAAGTTTGAAAATAGTGTTCGGACCAATAAATGAGTGTCTGAATCAACAACTGAAAAGCTCAACAACTGTATTATATATTCCCATTCTGTCTGACATCCTTTCGAATGTACACGCAGCGTTATGGTGTGCTCCAGCAGCCCAAATCCTTTTCAAATCACACAGCGCTAATCAGGACAGTGTCCACTTGTTGTAAATCAATAATGATATAACTAAGTCATACAAGGCGGCAGCGACGGAGGGATTACTGAGCCAAGAAAGAGTGAAATAAGCTCTAAGAGGGATTTCATGCATAAATCTCTCCCTGCAACTTGGCACAAATTGAATTCAGGCACACTGCTAGAAAAATTAATTCAGCTTTACAAAGCGAGGAGAGGTTAAACACTTGATGTGCTGCTCAGTGATCCGAGTCATGGAGAAAACATTTAGAGGCATTCTCACTGAAGCCCCTCTGTGCACCATGGGATCTGAAACCTGAAAAATAAATACATTTATCCAAAAAGAGTCTCATTAGGCACCTGAATTCCTTCTGCCATTGTTTACTTAAACTTCTGTTTTACCCATCAAGTTGTTTGTCGGCTCATGACCTTTTTATTGACGTCAAATATTCAACATGGCTCCACTTGCACTGCTTTTATTTGATTGTTTGAGCATTTATGGGCAGCAGGTACACTCTTACACACTATGTAGTTGTTTTTTAAATGGGAGTTTACATTAGTGAGATCATTCGGGGTCAATTGTGGTTTCTGGCACCTGTTTTATTTAACTGGGGAACCTTATTCGTCAAATATCAAATACATTCTTTTTACCTTTTCTGTTTAAGATCACTATGAAGATATTCTGTGACACTTCCTTTTCACCGTTATGTTGAACTGTTCTCTTATTACTTGTGCCATAACTTCCAATTACTTAACTCTTATCAAGCATCTGAAATGTTGTATGAAGAGTTATATGCTGCTATATGCTATACTTCAATATATAAAACTGCTTTATCATTGTATCATTTTTTTTTTAATATATGAAGCTTTTTGGGTAGCATGTTAAACCTGTGCGAACCCTATTACAGCTACATTGTATTCTGTGGGACAGCAGATTCATATTTATTAAATGACCCATTGATTTTAAACTAAGTCACTTTATCTGTCAAATAAATGTAGTTCGACAAAAAGTACACTGTTTCTCTCTTATAACAGTACATGATTAAATATAATGTGTACTGTCAGAACCATTACAGAATAATTGTATGTTAGACGCTTTTTGCATTTCATAAGACGCGGTTCAATTTAAGACAGAGGACTTTTAAGGCCCGTTTGAACGTTTTGTTTAGGTTTCGTTTTTGTATTCAAGTCCACATTCGAGCCACAAATAAGGTATATTTTCATTGATATTATCGATCAGTCTTTATTCTATCAACTAATCATTTGAGCATTAAACAAGAAAGTCAGAAACACCATGCAACTCCTTTTGCGTAAAAGATTTCAGACACTTTTATTATTGTACAAGTGAGACCAGCATAATGAAAGTGATAATACCCATGAACATGAAAGACCATTTTTCTTACTGTATTTACAGAGAAGTGTCTTCACATCACACACACACAATCCTTCTACGAAAATGAACAATTTGTAAATAACATAACAATTAAATAAACTCCACCTACCTTTAGGTTTACAGCTGAATATGCATATGATGACCATCTCTGCACTGCATAGAATTTATACATATACTTTTCCTCATGAACAACGTGGGTTTCCCTAATAATAATAATAATAATATTCATAATAATAATAATAATAATACTGCTCTCATGATGCATATAGGCGGCCTGTAAATAAACACTAACAAGAACTAAGTCTTTGGCAAATGCAAATACATTCACTTGACAGATGAAGAAACCATCATTCCAGCGTGATTTAAAGAAGTACCTCGGCCTGAAACATGAAGTTAGGAGGGAACATGTTTAAGGCATTTAGCTGAAATTGTCGCCCTGCTTTTTGACGTTATTAGAGTCGTCAGAATGAATGCTTGGGAAATCAAACTTGACTAATGACACTGGTGTGACTTGGGATGGCTGTTATATCCTTTTTCTGTGGTTGAATGCCAAAGACTTAATCAACTTAAATAGAAATGTAAGCGGTGAGAACATAGTAGTGCACGTCAAGGCAGTGACATGATGGGCCTTGAATTACAGGAAAACGTGTGAAGTGCCTTTTTAGACTGAGACTTATTAGACTTACAGCCAATTTCATGAAATAGAGCAAATATGCATCGTCATTTTTCTGCATAATAACGCTCCAGTGTTGCAAACCTCCAACATAGTGCAAAATCAACAAAAAACACAAATGTTTTGCCTGATGACATTTTGTATCCTGACAAATAAGAAATAGGAAAACACTAGCCAAGCAGTCCGCAGTTTAGTCGTTTACGAATTATAAAAATGAAATAAAAAAATCATTTTAAGAATATATTTACTAGTTTCTTGAAATCTTGCAAATAGCGGGCCATGGTGATATATTGTCATGGCTCCCTCTATTTTCAAATGGATGTTTCTTTATTTACTTCATTTTCATTTTTACATCTTGATTGTGTATCACAGAGAACATGTCCTAATCTTCTCATGGCATCAAAAAGGATCGATTTACTCATGCTGGATGTTTGGTCGGTGACTGCTTAGATGGATAAAAACAACGTTAGCCTGCCACAGCCTGCGTGTGCTGCTGCTGATCTCCTCTGCTCTCATTGCGCTGCCATCTGAATCGGAGTGGGAGACGAATGGTAACAGGAAAGAAAAAAAGGCTGCTGCTACATTTTAAGCTCTGGACAGCGTCCCTGCTGAGAGCCGTCAAGAAAAGGAATGTTCAGTATTGATCCGTGATGGGATGAACCTGTGCCACGGGGAAACAAAACCAGAGATCTTTGTATTTAGTCTTTTTTTTCTTCTTTTTTTTCCTGCAATTAGCCACAGTTTTCAGCATGTGTGTCGGGTGATTTTATTTTAGTGTCTCTGATGATCTTCTTGTAGGTTTTTTTTTTTGGCTTTAAGTGTCCAAAAAAAAGCTGCAAGGAGAGAAGTCGTCTGGAATCCCCCCCCCCCCCCCCCCCCAAAAAAATTAAGTTTCTCATCGTGAGCCGGGAAGATTTTATGCACAGTTGCTCAGTGTCCAGTGGACCATGCGGCTCACACCGGGGCAATATGGAGGCTAAGGCCATGGTCCTGCAGGTTGATTTGGTTCCCATGGTAACTAGTGACGGTCATAGGCAGTGGCAGCAGTGGGAGGGGCGGAGCCTCTGGATGCGGCACTATAATAATAAGGGGAACCTGAAATTAACAGAAGAACAAACCATTTGTAACAACAACAAAAAATACATTCACCAAATGCATTAACAGTATTGGTATTTACATTGAAAATAAGCTGCATTTTTACAAATTTTCCATGCTAGAAAACTCAAAATTGTTGTCTCGCTCCCTTACTTCGTTACTTTTGCTGTTCCTAAGCTGTACCGTCTTTAAAGCGGTTTACAATGAGGCCCATTTATCACTTTAACATTTCATTTGTGTAATAATTAGTCTTTAATTTAGAGTCAAACTAAAGCAGGTTTTCCAATTTCTAGCCAACGCCCCTCAGTTTTAACCCTAACCCTGAAATGACAACTTTTCCTGACAATTTTTATTAGCTGCTAGCTAGTTGCCAATAATGCTAGCCTCATGATGCCTGATAACTGGCCAGCTTTTAATGTTTTCAGGTGACTTGTTTAAGGATGAGAATATTATAGGAGTGAATATAATAATGCACTTTAGAGCTACATGATATACAGAATGTTTTAACTTTCAGCAGTGCAAGAGAAAATGGACATCGCCAAAATCAAATGAAGAGTGACAGAGCTTCAACTCTGATAGCATCCAGGACTACCCTTACACAGCTGCTTTATTTATTAAGCTTGTTAGCAGGGCATGCTAACAAGCTGCTCAGGCCAGATCAGTTAATGGTGTTTAATGCATTCCTTAGGCGGTGCTAAGTTGCTAGCCAGCAATTGGACATTTTGCTCTTTGGGGGAGGGGTCAATTAGTCCAGTATCTCTCTTTCTCTACTCACTTAGTAATGCTGGGTTACTGAATCGCCAGGCGTCATTGTAGGATGTGTACTGTGGGTGACTGTAGGGGTTCCCCGAAAACTCACTCCCTGCAAAACAAAACAACAAATCAATTAGCATTTCATTGCATCAAACCATTACCCTGTTCACTTGCAGTCATTTCTCGTCATTCAAAACAGGATGCAATTTGAGGGGCAAAATGATAGTCATCGATGTGCAACCAGTCAAGCAAGTAATTTATTTCTTTTTCATTTCACTTAAGTTATGCAACACTGAACAATACAGGATGTGACACTGACGGCGGCTTTCCTTGTCCCATTTATGGATATCTACCCATTCTTCTTCCTCCACTATATTCCAAACCCGTCTAATAAATACAGAGTGGTAATAAACAGTTTCATGCATACATTTTTGATATGCTGCAATAAATCCTGCAGCCTTTCTTAAAGGGATTTTTTACATCTCCAATCCAAACCCCTCTGGTCTGAGCTGTGGTGTTTGGTAGAATTTCATTGCAGAGGAAACTAACTTGGGGCATGTCAGTGAGCGCTGCTGGTTCAACACGTTTCTTTCTTTTACGAGATAATAAAGGCTAGATTTGATATTAAGCTGGTGAGAAATGGCTTTGCTTTAACAGTGTTTTGCGCCCGTCACTAAATCTTAGTGGTTGTGTATAGGATGAATGGTTTGTAACACAAAACCACAAGCCATAGGATTAAGGCCCTCATCTTCTGCCTTGTGCCACATAGGAACAAATGGAAAGTTAAAGTATGTTTGACTTGACGCTTTTCCACCAACTGATTTAACAGTTTTATGAGTCAACATCCCAAAGCAAATCCAGACAGCCACCGGGTGCTACCACATCCTCCATTGTTGTTCCTGGTTAGTGTTAAATTGACAGAAATGGTCGAGTCTCTATATTTTCAAAATAGCTTTTCATAACATGGGCAGAAAGAAAAACTTGAATACTAAGAGTCCCCACCATTTATTTTGACTTTAATGAATGAAAAAATATCTTAACAATATTTAGAGAACGGGAATAAAAAAGAAATCTAACTGTTTTTAATTATTTGAACATCAGAAACTGAACTAAATGTACCTTTGTTGTATTGAAGTAGCAGAAAAATGTGATATCCTGAAAAATATCAGTATCTATATGAAGTATAAAGATGTATGTATCTTTGTAATTTTTTCTTTTTTAAGGATGATCTGCTACCAGTGGACCAAAACAAATGGCGCAGTTAATGTAACCCCCTTGGCTGAGGAGATAACAAAACTCGTCATCGCAGCCCTTCATGAAGGAAAAGGAGTAACAGCCAGAGCCAGTGATGGGCTGTGTGATTGGTAAATGATATGCAAACACCGGACACACTCCACTGGTTTCCCTCATCCTAGTGGTTTAATCACATCAAAGCAAAATGCCGGCTGTGGTTTGGGGAAAATGTGTGCTTGGTGACGCTGGAGCTGAAGAAGCCCAGCACCAAATCTGAATCCCTGGCAGTGAAACACAAGCCTGACCTCCTCAGAGAGACAGAGATTTGAATATTTACCGGGCTCACATGCCTCTGCCTTTTGACCCTTAACTGTTTGCTGTGAAACTGAACTGCAGGTTAAGTAGAGGAGAGGAAGGGGATGTGCTCTGGAGCGCAGACGCTGGGGAGGGCTGGTATTGCGTTTTATCGACGACCGGTACAAACGGGAATATAATGAGCCAATAAGAAAGAGAAAAAGCAGGAAGGAAGGGAGAACCACTGTCCTCTCCTCGGTCTCTGATCACTTATTCGGCCCGTCTAATCCAATGATACACAAAAAACTAATATAAGGATGTGTGCGCCTCTTGTTCTGCAGGTCAATTTATATCGCCTCTCTGCGTAATCTGACGCTAAACTCTCCTCACTCTGCTTCTCAAGCTTCTACACCTGTTCATTTGGAGGGGCAACTGTTAAATAGCCCCACTAATGACAATATTAATCCATGTGATGTTGTCTCTCACTTACCAGGAACCATTCCGGCGAGCGTGGAGGTCGGATAGCTGCCCTGGCCCGTGGGGGGAACGTGGGGGGGGGTACCCAGGTAGGGTTGTGTTGGACATATCTCGACCTGGAGAGACAAAGAGAAACAAAAACAAAACAAAAACCACTTCATCAGTGCTTTCAAGTTTACAAATATGTGACTAGAAGCATCTTTAAGGTCTTTGGATCTTTAAGTAAAGGATGCAATACAGAATTGAAAAGATAAGGCCTGCATTATTATAACTGCTGTGAATATCCCAAATTCTCAGCATGCAGATTGGTCCCTTTCAGATTTTAGATATATTATTTTGCAGAGATGGACCTATAACTGCACATATGAACTGTTTTTTAGCTACTTCTATACACATTTGTTATATTTGATTGATATTATTAATATCATATTTATTCTGATTCAGTAAAGTAGATATAGTTTTGTAATAGCTGCCAAATAAAAGCTGCCTCTGAAATGTCGTGGAGAGGTACCTCCAAACTTCTACTACTTGAATACAGTACTTGAGTAAATGTGCTTAGTTACTGTCTAGCTCTGCAATTAGTGTTTGATTTCAAAATGCAAACCAGCTCCTGCCGTTTTTTAAAACCAGGAAATGATGATATTACTATCCACATCACGACTCATCACCACCACCTCAAGTCAGTCAGCACAAGAACCTTATTTTCCCTACATTTAAGAGATGGTTTCAAAGAGCCTAGTTTCGTCCAAACCGTTACTGAACACCAGAAAGCATCAGTCCGCTCCTCTAACTTTAAAACAGGACAACAACAGCTGCTGCTTTGAGCCCGCTGAATACTGGTCACATAAACATCCCTCCTCATTACTCCGTTCAAACTTTTTTTCTAAATATGGCGGCCTCTCTTTCTCTGTACAGTGGGAGCACACTGGCCCCTCTGCGGAGCGGGACCCGTCCGGCTGCAGATATTCAGCTATGTAATTGAGAGTGACGGTTGGGCTGTCCTCGCTGGCCACGGGGACGTTGGGACAAAACGACACGTAACCCAAATCTGCACAGGGGCCGGGGTAGAAGAGGCCCCTGTTATATTGTCAGCTGTGAGGGCCACTTGGACTCAAGGGGAAAATAATCTCCCAATGGAGCTTTAATGAGGGACTAGTGGAAGAAAACTGTCCATGTTGTTGCATTAACTAACAAACTGTTTAAGGAAGATTTTTTATCACAATATTAACATAAATATTATGATATGTCTCTTGTTCTTCATGACAAGTATGTCACTGAGTCACGGTCTAAAGGGAGTTTTTTTTTTCATTTAACAACGATTTTGCTTCTATATTTCTACTAAATCATACCTGTATTAATATGAATACATTGTATGACAGTTGTTTAACTCTATTCATGTTGTTTGTATTTATTGTTTTAACAGTATTTTTCGGCTCCCCTCTTGACCAATCATCTCTTAAAATCCACATTTTGATCCATTTTGATCCACAAGTTATACAACATATTGAACTCTCTTGCAAAAAATAATATTTATCTCTCTGAATATGGAAAACTGGCCCTTGCTGCTAATCAACATCACTAATGAGAGCATAAACCACAGGCTAATATAGATATTGACTGAAAAATCCAATTCATACATGTGCAATATCATGAGAAGCGTATCTGTTTAATTGAGGGTGAGCGAATGGGCCCTCTGGGTATTTAAGTACCTGCTCCTACAGGCTGCCAGGCATACTGGCTGCAGTGGGGGGCCTGAGGGGGAGGGGGGCTGGGCTATAGGGACGGCTGGTGACCCAGGCCTGGGGGAGGGGGGAGGAAGGAAGTGGGGTAGGAGGAGGTAAAGGAGCCAAAATAAGCCTTGTATGGCTTTCACTAATTTTGTTTGGTAAAAACATTCACCAACACAATATTAAATAACAACAACATGACTTGCTTTCAAGGCTGTTATTTTAGTAATAGTATTTCGTTTATTTTAGATTATCCCATTGATGGCAATGAAGTTTAGTAGTTAGGTACTTTAATTTACTACTTCTACTGTGTCACATTTATACAATATTTAATCCATTTAATCTTTTCAACATCTGTTGGCATATTTAAATGTTGTGTACAAAATAATTGTAAGATTTGCTATAATATGACATACTGCTATTAACTGTTTAAACTACTAAACGATATTCGAAGCGTTAAAATTAGCTCCACCCTGACTCGCTACTTCATAAGAAAGCTGCTTAAATCTTAAAGCACATACCATAAAAATGCAATAATTTACTATATGCTGTATATAATATTATGCTCTCTTAAATGGGTCATTCTGCATAATGGGTGTCCCTGAAACTCAAGTACGTTTTGCTCATAAAGCTTCAGCAGATCTGTAGACATATATTTTAATTCTGGGTGTGTAATGATGTTTTTTTCAATTCATTGCAGTAATTACTTAAGTAAATGATCTGAATAGTACTTCCATTACTGAAAATACTACACCGAAACTATCTTTTAGTCCTGATCTAAGAGTTGTTATTGGATGCTTACTTAAATCAAGTGCCAAAAAAAGTACTTTTCCATTTGTGATCATGGATTGTACAATAAAGAAAGCGCTCAGTGTGTTCTCTATTATTTGCAAATCTCAGCACTGATGGCTGTTTTGTATGAAGCCTGCTGAGATGTGACTTTTGGTTAAAGCACCGAGACTGGAGGGCTGCGGAGTTAAAGAGCTTTACAGAGAAGAGTGAGGTCATGCCGGACATTTCATTTATAATAAGAATTAGTTAGCCACAAGCCAGTGCACATAAGTCAAAGGGAGCCGTGGGAGTACTGTAGGTGGGGGGTCCAGCGGGGGTGAGGCCATTGTGTGTGTGTGTGTAGACATTGGTAACTATTGTCTAACTGTCTCAGCAAACACTGACCCAATCTTTTCTTCATTCTTTTTGCAGCAGCAACAGCAGTTGAACATGTTTAATAAAAGTAAATACGCTTATCTCTTTATTACCTTTCTTCAAAGAGATGAAATACATTATGTGCACCAGATCCCTGCCTTTCAGTCTTAAAGGGAACATCTGGTTTGATCGCTTTCAAATATGACTGAAATGCAATAAATGTTGTTTTTACCAACAAAAATAAATCATTTTCGATAAGGAACCAATCACCTGTTTTCCTCTTCATATACTGATTCCGATTGGCTGACACTGATACCATTGCTACATTTATTTCCCTGGTGGAACTGAACAATGTTGAGCTTGTAACCACAAATAACTTTTTAATTTTCAAAGGGAGACTATCATATGCCTAGTTCCATTCATTTTTGTGCAGATTTTAATGATATTTTTAGCCAGTTTTAGTCAAATTCATAATAAAGGTGAAGGGCTAGGGAACTAGGGTGGGTCAGTGACTTCTATCAGATCAATAGAATCAATTATTTCAGACAGTCGTTTTATGTTTCATTTTTGGTAGTAGTGAAAATCTCCATGTATTTTGATTAACGTAGGAGCCCTTTAATGTGCAAATATACCAAAGCAAAAAGATTGAACATGTGGAAAATGTTTTCTTGAAGGTTAGTTTGGCCCAATAGAAAATAAGTCTATTGCCATTAACTTCAGTCTATTTTTCTCCTGTTGACTGCGATAATAATAATTATCAGCGTCCCTGTTGAATCCAGTTTTGTTGTTTTCCAGGATAGCGTTGGCAGTGACTGCCAGCAGTTCTGTGCCTGTTGCTTTATGTCCCCTTTAAAGCCCTCTTTCTGTGAGGCGCCAGTTCTGAGAACTCTCTGTACAGCAATGATAGCCTCATTAGCTGCTTCCTAGCCTTTGTTGTTTTTACAACAGAGATATGTGTCCAGATTCTCATTAAAAGATGGGCTTCTTTATATTGTCTGCTTCCTGTCAGTCCCCTTAGATTGAACGCCAGCAAATCAAGCTATTTATTTGGCTGTGCCCTCTTTTCCTTTCCCTGCGAGAATCAATTCAAAGAGTTTTTTGGTTTGCTGTTACAAAACCCTGTTGATTCCTGTCTTCCTTTGAGAAGTGACTCGTAATAGCTGCTGCTGAGCGTTGAAAAACAGTAATTCCTGCTTTTAGTGAGCCAGGAAATATAAGATTTTTAAGATTGTTTGAATGCTTTTTGAAAATAACTACTGGCTATATTTATTTATTTGAACTACACTGAGTGGCTGAAAGCATCAAACTGTTCAAACTATTTTGTCAACACTTGATTATACTGCGAGAAGATTGATGAGTTTTATCTCGACTCACAGTAACGTGATAGGAAACTACGATGTGCTTTTTTGCATTGCTGTCATGCCCGTTTCTTAAAACACAAAACGAAAAGCAAGACGACCTTCTTTTTATTTGGCACAGAAACAAAGTCATTTGTGAATGACTCTTTTGCTTGCAAGAGTATTACATTTAGCATGACAGGGACACCTTCATGTTTTGCTACAACAACAACCAAAAATCTTTGACCTCCAGTTTTCTAGGCTATATGCAGAACGGGGCAATTTATCACAAGCCAAAAAATCTCAGCACCCTAATTAATTACAACTAAGTAAAGAATGTTTGGAGAGCCAAATTGCTTTAATTCCCCGAACACCGGCTGAAAGTCATTCATTATCAAATGTGTGCTCAAAGGTTAGTTTGCTTTTGTGAAGACGAAATAAGCATTAATTTAGTTCCCCCCTGTGGGAAGACGGGCGAGCGCTTTGTCACGAGGCCACGCGTCACTTACGGCAGGTTCGCCTTCTGATCTTTGCTCGCTGCTCACTGGACAACCGCAGGTCCTGGTACTTCCTGTGTAGAGCACCCTGAGAGCACTCACTCACCCTAATTGAATGCTAAGTGTGGATGGTTTTATTTGCTGGGTGAAGTTTTGTTTAGAGACTTGACAGGAGTGTACAGGAGCAGCTGCTTGAGGAGGGGAAGTGTCATTGACACGGGGGTCTTTAAGCCTTTGGAGGCCTTCATTAACAGGCCCAGCAGGGAATATGTTTAAAGAGTCTTGAGTATGCAGTCACTGAGTGGAGATGTGTAAAACTCCCACTGAGTGCTCTAGGGACTCCGCTCAGTGCTCGGAGATGGCTCTTCAGCCTGAAGCACCATCGAGAAAACAGGTGGGCTCCGACTAATTTCAGGAAATACTGAAACTCTCTATAGAAATAGTGGACAATTGGCCGTATCGAGGCCATCTCTCCATTTATTTCTGAAAATACACAAAAAAGTTTTGAGCTCCTCCTTGTGCTTTTCATAAATTCACCCACGGCTCACACCATTTGAATTTTAAGCAGTTCGAATGAACAAGAATAAGAAGCACTTGAGATGAAATCCATCTCTCGAAGGGAATTCATCAAAGAAATTACTTCCCATATCAACAATAGAAATTACCTCACAATATGCAATTGTCCTATCCACATATTCATGGAACCCTTTGGTGTTTTTATGGGGTAAGAGGGACCATTTAGCAGGTAATGCAGCATTAATGTGGAGGAGAGGGAGAGAGAAAAAAACGGTTTTAATGGAAGTGGCTTCTTGCCTCTGAATTTCGATGATGTGCACAATGCCCTTAAATCCCTTTCTTATTTGAGTGTGCTTTGCAGGTACTTTTGAGCCTTAATAGGATAAGCAGAGGACACAAAAGATTTCTATCTCGGAAGTCTTTCAGCTCACTGAGAATCCCGATCTCTGGCAATGAGCACTTCATGAATCATTCATTTTTAATAGATTATGCAAATTCCAGGACATAAAATCAACAAGATCAATAACTGCAGGCGTTTTAATTGGTGTTGGAAAACATTTTAAGGATGAACATAATCTCCAGTTCTTTCCCCCGTAAAGACACAATTAATTTGAAATTGGATCTGGGCCTAAATACTGCAGATAATTTACTACTTTTTGCATGGCTTAAAATTCCTCTGGTGGGCTTATCGCTGGCAAGTAAACTGTAATACTCAGCCATTAGTGAGACCACACACCTGAATATATCCTAATATCCACACAGGCAGCCACTGAAGGAAAACCAAGCAGAGGAGCCACAAAACAAATACTAATTACAAGAGGAAGTCGCAGTGATGTTTGTTCCATTAGTTTGACCTCCTTATTTCTCTGCCTGCAGTGAGACCTGCCACCAGAAAAAGGTATTTACTAACACAAAAGCAAGTGATATGTGTTTCATGTGCAGACACACACACCGGTATGCATACAATCCCATCTTTCTTCCTCTACATGTCTCTTTGCACCTGTAAAGCAGTAAGGAGACCCTCTCTGCAGAGACCATCTGAAATATCCCAGGTGCAAACAAAGCCGCCTGCATTCTACGGGGCCATCAGCGCACAAAGGACAAACACACACCTTTCTTCTCAGGAGGCCTGCCTTACAGGGAAATCTACCTCCCACATATTAATGAGAAAAGGGCCCTTTCTCTTCTCATAAGTCTGCTTGGCTATCATTTGAGAAGGGGGGGCTGAAGCAATTTTCAATCACCCTGTCCTCCCCCACGCAGAACTCCTCGCCTTTGATGGCTGCTGCATAATTATATGAATTTTAATAAAAGCTCTGTATATTAATCTCAGGCCCCCCGACAGTCATCGTAAACTTTCAGTAAACTTAACCTTCTTCTTGGTAATAACACGGCAACAACGAAACAATATTTCAATTAGCCAGGCAGTCATTAACTGTGACAAGGAGAGGAGACGACGAGAAGGGGGTGGGGGGGGGAGGGAGAGAGAGAGGAGGGCGAAATAAATGATCATGGTGTTAGAGTTAGGCGGCAGAAATGCCAGAGCGTATTTACCGAGGCACATTACTCGTGCTTTGAGACACACAAACTGTCTCCCGGCGAACAAATCACAGGAGCAACACAGCAGCAGCCAACAAGCAGTCAGTCCTGCATGGTGGCCTTTCTTCTTTTTTTGGTGCGAGACCTTGCTCTGATACACAGTCATAGTTCTGATGTGCTGACACCCAAAGGTCCTTGTCCAGCGGTGACTGAACAGCCCCCCCACTGCCCCACCCCACAATCTCTCTTATCACCCTGCTTGCTCAGCAAAGACGCAGACAGAGGACAGCTGCTCAGCTTTTATCACACCATCGTACCACCTATTCAGCTCAGAGTGAAATGGTATTAAAAAAGTATTCACACTTAACTTTTTGGTTTGCTTTTTTTTTTTATTTTCACACATGTTTTGGTCAATTGCACAGGCAGTGTTAGTTGTTTTTCTCATTCTTTTACATACTTCAAACCCCCTCAGCTGAAGCAGTGGCTCGGCAGCATAAAGGCGTACTGTATGGCACTTGATCTTACCTACGGGGTAGCTTTGCGACACGCTGGGGCCCAGGTCTGGGTTGACGCTAGAGGATAAACTGGGCTTGACTTCGTCCAGCCTGGAATTCAGGCCAGGGAGCGAGTACTCATTAGCCTGGGAAAAGGACAGTTGAATCATTACACAACCAAACAATACCAAGATGGAAATCCTCCCTTCTCCTCCTCCATTAAGCGCTCCACACAGGCCTGTGCGAGTATACATTTGTATGAGAGCATTGTGTGTGTGTGTGTGTGTGCGCATGTGTGAGTGTGCGTATGTGTGAGTGTGTGTTCAAGCTGCAGGGTGGCAGTTCAAGCATATCATGAATGTATTTTGGTATTGTCTGAGAGGAAGTGGGATTTTGAGATGAGTGAAAAGCCAAGGCGTCAGCTGGCCCTTTGTGCTTGACTGCAGTCCTTCCCCTGATCAGCCAAGGGAGAAAGCAGTTCTGCTTTGTTACAGGCTCACCATGTGGCCCTGTTTCAGAGACACTATTCACCTTTTTTCTGCTTTTTGCTTATAATTTGGAGTCCAAACCACCTTTTTTAAATTTCATTACCTCTTATCTCTGAATAGAATCACTTGTAAGACTTGCACTTTTTGTGACCATTTAGCTGTTTGAGTGTTTGCCTCTTGTGTGCGTTCAGAGGTTGAATAAAGGAGTAGTTCACCCAAATCACAAACAAAACACTGTATTTGTAATGCGAGCAATGCAAGTAATATGTGTCTGTCTTTAGATCTCGGCCTCTGAACATTTGATCTGAACCCCCTTTAACGTTGGTGGGTGTCGTTTGTGCTGCTTAATTTTTTAAGTTTACAAAACCTTGACATTTTAGAGGAAAAAAAACGTTGTATCATTCAAAAGTCCAATTTGATACCCAAGTTACAGGAATACCAAAACAATTCTTACAAAATATACTTTTTTACATTTCTTTTTTTTTGATGGGTCCTTCTTTCCTTTTAACAAATAAAGTGAACTTCTCAATTTCGCCTGAAAGCCTTAATAGTGAGTTATTCAAAAGTGAATGTAAACAAACCTATGGATCTGACCAGGCATTTAATGACAACTATCATTTAATAGCCTGAGTAGAATGTCTGAATGCAAATAAATCCAAATGTCTCTTTTTGTAATTGTGTTGCAATGAAACACATTTGCCTCAATCTAAAAATGAATCTGTCGGCTTGTCCCTCATTGTTTCTTTTTGTAAATCCACTAAAAGACACTCGTGGCAGATGTTAGCAGTTTTTTTTAATGAGATGAGACTTCCGGAGCCTGAGTGTTGACAATGTTTGTCCAGAGCCCAGTGTGAGCCTGAGTGGCTCAGTGGGCCGCGCTCCCACAGGGGGACGCCCGTGACCCCGCTCTTGTCTGCCACTATCACCGATAAACTCTAATTGTCTGCTACAACTGTTCACTGGCACAATGTCGGATGTTTTCCTCTATTCTCTGAGGCTTCAGACGCCAAACAGACGTTTTATCATGCAGATAAAGGGCAGAAGGGGGAAAACTGAAAAGACAGGTCTGAAAGGGATGACCAAATGGCTAGCAGAAGTGTGGGAGGGGTGAATCCATTGAGTTTTGCATCTCCAGAATGGGTTTTTAATGCCCCGCTACAGAACCCAGACACTGGCTAATAGGGCCACGAAAAAAACCGTGAGGCACCCATGAAAGGGAAAGTGCTCTGATTAATATTGCATTAAATTAAACCTGATTTTTCTCGACTGTTCCTGGCCTCCTTTTTTCTTTTTTTTCTCTCTCACTTGCCCTCTTTTTTTGGTCTAACCCTTTTTCCCTCTGCCTTTTAATACTCTCCCTGACGCTCTTTGTGATTGCAAGTCATTTCCAATTCGTTTTGGTATTGATCTTCCAGTAGAAATCAGTTTTGTAATTAGCTGCAAATTAGGCCCTCTTCTGGAGGTGAGGCCTGTCCCACTGATTTATCACCTGCGTAATTCGCCCCGATTGGAGAGAAATTAAAATGAACTCAATTAGGCGACTGCTTTTGCTTTATGGGTCCGACTTGTAGTACGGTGGGAGAAATTAATAGTCTCTTGTTGTTTAATAGTATAATGAAAGTAAATAAAGGTTATCCATTGTAATAAGCCCAGAGCATTTAATAAGCGGTGGTTTCTGGCTGTCGTTTTGGCGTGGGGGGTGGCTGGTCCCCAAATGCCTCTTAATTTTAGAAATGAGGATGGATGGCGAGTGTGGTTATAATATCAGAAGGAAGGAGAGGGAATACATGCTTTCATACATCAAATTCATGAAAACAATAAAAGCAGCCTTCGAGACTGCGTCAGTCATTAAACATCAAGATATGACACGGAGTTGGAAAATAAACAACAAAGGCAAGAAGCAGCAGCTGAATAACACAGCATAACATTGAGAAAAAACCTCAGTATTGATTAATTTCATGTTGCCTTACTGTTATTCTCAATTATAGGGGATACAAGGAATGTGTTTTTCCTCTCAAAATCAATAATGTGTGGGAGTTTTCCAGGTGATCCCTCCAGCATTATACATGCTTGGTTTTAATCCAATGCTTGGACATCTCAGACGTTTGTTTAATTAGCTTTCTGCGTATGGGAATATTTGTGACAAAGGTGGGTTTTTTGTTGTTGTGCTTGAATCAGCATCACATGCACAATGTGTGTGTGTGTACTTGAAGTGGTGAGTTGCAGTGCTACTAACCTGTTCGGGTTTGATGTGCTCCGATGTAGGGAAGTGGTCAGGGTACGAGGGGCGTTCAAAGACCCGGTCCAGCGCTTCCAGCTGCTGCTGGGTGAAGGCATCTGCCCTAAGGTGTTTCCGTAAACTCTCCACACTACCCTGAGAATCACTGTGTGGGCCAGAACCATCTGAACCATCTACAAGAAGAAAGAGCAACAATCGAGAGACTGACCCCGGGAAGCTGGCCTTTTACTTCAAGCTATGCACTTTATATTCTCCTCATGTATTTTCTGTACCACCTCTGTGGGGGATCTGAGGAGGACAGAAAGGGATGGAGTGCAGGTTTTTCCACTCCTTAATGGCTGTAGTGAGCCACTGGCTACATCACACAGGTTTTTCCCCTGCACCCCCTGCCACGGGAGTGACACCACCATGATCTGAAAGCCCTCTGGTAATTGATGGATTACCATCACTTTCAAATATATACATGTTGTGGCAAGCATGTATACTAATGAAAGCAGCAGCAGCAGCCAGCCCATTATAGTGTCTTTTTTTCCCCCTCCCTATGATTCCTCCCCAGAACCCTTTTGGTGCTCACTGAAATAAAGAGCAGTTTTTTTTTTTTAAAGCACAATTTCCCTTTCACAATTCAATACTGCTTTCATTCTCTGCGAGTGTGGTGGTTCCATTTATAAACAGCGGCGGGGACAAGAGGCTGAATAAAACCGTACAGTCTGGTTCAATCATCCCGCTCTCCAAACACAGGAATGTTCTCCTGACTCCTGACCTGATTACCCGACTGTTGGGAGAAGGATGCCTTAGCTTTTCCTGTTGTCACTTTTGTGCGACGCTTTAAAGCCTTTACAGAGCATCCTAGCATACCGCCCTCCCCTTTTTCTCTCCCTCCCTCCATCCCCCCCCCCCACCTCTCCTGGCTGCAGTGTCTGTAGGTCTCCTCCCTGGATCCCAGATAGCTTCAGCTCCCTTACAAATCTGTCATTCTAAATTTGCAGCAGATTATGTTCTCCCCTCAGTGGGAGAGTGGTGATATATGATATGCAAGGCCCCTATTGATTGCCTGATCTGGTGGCAAGAGGGAGCTGAAATGAACTTGAAATGAACATCATGCCTCAACTCATTGTGCGTATAATACTCTACTTAATCCCACATTTTTCTCTGCCACGGAATTCAATTGATCAATCATGTCTGTGTGATAGTACCATTTGGGAGGGTTATTGCCATTCTATTCCGCTGCTTGACCTTTTTTCACCGGCTGAGGCCAGAGGATGAACCCGACTATCAGGAGCTATAAAAGTGTGTGTGAGAGGGGGTGTGAGCATGTGTGACCTGAAATTGTGCTGATGGCTGCGAAAATGTCAAGCAATAAATATCACGAGTTTGCTAACAGTACCTTGTTAACTATTTATTCTATTTTCACTGCACTGGTGAATACCGGTTTTATTAACAAGTGATGTCTGACATGTTGAATTGTTATCAGTGTTAGTACATCTACTATTCTTTTGTTGTTAGTTAGTTTTTTCGCAATGATATGACCAATCCACGCTAGGTTTTGTTGTTTTGTTGGCGTCATTATACGGATCAAATCAGTTTTTAGCGGCACAGCAATCCCTGTATTTGTTATACCTTACATAAGGGTAAGCCAAACAGGTTAGATATATAGATTATAATATTGGTAAAATAAATCAATGGTTGTATGTGTGGGCAAATTCCGTGACTAAGGGTATCGGTATTGGATCCAAAAAGTTAGATGGTGCATAACAATCATTTAAACCTCATAGTGTTATCTGAATTGTTGTTTAGCTTCCAAAACAAGCAATATTTCCCCCCCAAATGTTGTACATCTCCTTATATGCATGGGGTATAACATTTCCCAGACAGTACGTCACTCTCCCGCACAAAATATGTAACTCCAAATTTTGCTGACTTTAAGTTGGCGTTTCTTAAACACTTAAAAATATCTCACTTTGTCGTCTAGATTAGACGTATGCAATGCAAGAGAATAGTTTGACATTTTAGAAAAAGGCCTACACTACAGTAGCCTACTTTCTTGGTGAGGTTTTGATTTGAAGATCAATACCACTCTCATTTTTGCATGAAGCTACATGAAGGGGATGTTTAGCTTAGCTTAGCATAGAGAGTGGAAATAGGTTAACAGCTAGTCAGTGTTGGTAAACAAATCTCAGCTTTCCCTCCTTTTTCTAGTCTCTATGCTAAACTAAACAATCCTGACTGTTAATTTATTGCATATGACGCATTCAACTCTCGGGAGGAAACCAATTGGTTGAACTGTTCCTTTAAAGAGGTTAACGAAGCTGCCTCATCAGAAAGAAGACAACAACCTATCGGATTTTCCCTGGTCTGACTTTGGTCCATTCAGGTGAATATTCAGCATGTTTTCTGGCCCTCACCTAAGCTGCTGCTTGTCACTTTATCAAACTCAATTGTTCTCTTTGCAACCGAAGCAAATAGAGTCATTAATTACTTTTCCATCAGCCGGCTCGAGACACAACACCTGATCAATACCCCTCCCACCATATTTGTCATTCACCACAGTGGAATACACTTCCCACACACAAGACAAACCATCCTGGGTCAACCTACATGCTCTTCCTCCCACTCACACCGGGGACAGTCCCATTTGCCCTCCCAGCCACTGACTCCCCTCTGACAAATCAGCAATGACTGTGTTTCGGTGATGAAGATGATTCTCGTGACATTTAGAGCGTTTATGTAGCCGCGCAATTAAGCTTCCTGGAGAGTAAATCAAGTTTATGCATCTTTCATCTTTTTTCTAAACTGTCCTCCCAAGAAGAGCTAAATCATCAATGGCCATGTAAATGCGTCAAAGTGACAAAGCCCTCTAGCGTTTGTAGGAATTAAAACTCAATCGGGAGAAAAGAAGAAAGTGTTATATATTGTTAATGTTTACATGCTGTGTAAGACTACTATTATGCCTTTTTATCATTAATTGTGAAGCCGCTGTTTTTTTAAAGTGCCTTATGAATGTATATAATGATCAATTACAACATATTTTTTATTATTATATAGCCACAAAGTGATAACAAAACTGTCTATTTCCTCAAACTGTCGACTTTCCCTAACCTTAACCATGTTGATATTGTTGCAACCATAACCATTTAAGTTACAAAGTATTTTTTTTAACATAAACCATCCCTAAAAATGAGCCATTAAAAATAAAAAAGTTTTTAATTGAATAAAAGAAAAGACCAAATAAAGCAGTTTTTGTGCAATAATTCCTTATTGATACGTTAAAAATAGTGTTTTCTTTCAAATTGTACTTATGCATATTCAATTACAAATAATTAATTTCAAACTACAATATTTGTAAATGTTTTGAGTTGCTGTTAAGAGTCCATAATCACCCTACAATAAGTCAGATCCACTATTTGGACATTTCCAAATGAGCCCATTATGCGGCGGTGATACTAATCTTTGACCACAGTGGCTTTGTTGGTGCGTTACACGCTTGTCCCGCTCTGCGGTCGTTTATTGATCATCGCAGGAGTTGAGTGTATTCATCTTGACATCAGTCTGTATTAACACTCTGGTAACGAGGGAGCCGCTTTTATCAGATCAGATAACCGGCTCTATAAAGCAGACTCCTCTCTGCGGGTTTGGCACCCAGAGGTCGCGACCCCTAGCAGGACTCTTTAGCCAACGCAACTCTGAGACTGAGAGTGCGTCTGAGTGACTGCCCGCCAAACAAAAACAAAGCACATGTCATGAATGAAGTGCAGGATGAGTTTAAATAGTAACCTCAATAATAGCGTGCGTTTTTATAGAAGACAATTATGATTTCAGAATAAAAGTTTCAACTTTTTCCGCAATTTAAATAGTTATTTAAGTTCCTGTTAGAGGCACTGAGAGGTGAGCTGGCACCTTGAGGTCATGAGCCCCCCCCTCAGATGAATGAGCTTACCCCCCCCCTCTGTCTGCTCCTTGTTTAAATAACATGTCGACATACATACGCTCTGGTTCCCTTAACGCATTGCTATGCATTTCGCAATAATACACCTCTATAATTTCCCGCCTGATTCAATTCACAGCTAAATGAAATCAAATTAAAACAAATGTGATGAACTCAGCTGCATTTTGTTTTGTCTAATTGAATGCTGTGATTATGTAAACATAAATTAAAACACTGTGATATGTTTGTTCTGCATCACTAAAGATCTGTGATGAGTGTTTCAAAGGGATGATGAATTGAATATTGTATCGATGGAAAATTAATCAAATAAAAGTTTGATAATCGATTAACCGAAAAAAGGCCAAGTATTCTCCGTATGCATCTAATTAAATGTGTGAAAATGCTGCTTTTTCACAGTTTATATCATTTTAAAATTCAAAGCGATGTGGTTTTTGGCTGTTGGTCAAACAAAAACAAGGGAATTAGAAGAAGTATTTCTGATAATTAATAAGCAAAAAAATAAATGAAAGTATTTTAAATATTCCTCATATGCAGCCTTGTGTCTGATTCTTCTTAATATTCTGAGATGAACATTTTGGAAAGATTGTTTAATGTCTTACGACCATCAATTTTCCTTTTATGTCCCGATTTAATTTTTTTAAAGATTTATTAATCTAATTTGAAGGTTGCACTCTTAGGTGCTGACATTTTGCTGCGCTCTGAGTTCCTGTGTTGATTCTCCCTCTCCCCCATAACAGATGCTGATACACAGAGCAGGGTGTGACGGAGGCCCGCTCCATCACTCATCTCCATCCACACACATCGGTTCAGTCCTCATGACGCTCAGAGATGAGAAATAATTAATTCAACAGCTACTGAAGCACGGAATCACATCCATTCTCACTGCCACTGGCTATTGTTGTTGCCTTTTGAAATGTATGATGATCATCTTATCATAAAATTTCTCTCTCGCTATTTCGCTCATAAATCAAGAAAGAAAGCCCCACACAAAGCAAGAAAGCGACCAGAATGGTTGAAATTAAGAATCATCTACAGGCCTGATTGTGCAATTTGTGTGGGTCGCCCTGAAAGAACGTGTGATATGACTTTGAAAGACCGGACACACTTCATGGACGCTGCGTGTTCTCAACAGACCTCCAAGCTGTCTGCTCGGGTCAATTCAGCTCACTCAAACGTGCACTAATAACAAGAAAGGTGAACAAAAACATGCTTGAAAGCAGATTTGTACTTAAACATCAGATACTGTATGACAGATTTGTATTTGACCCTGAGAGGAGCAGCTTCTCCTTTTGTCTTTTCTGGAGCCTACAGCAGCAGTGGGGGTGGAGGAGCTGGGACGCTCGGATGTTAATCTGCGAGGTAATGGCTTTTCTCTGCAGAATTGCAAATTCTAATATATGTCACTTTGTAAAAGGTGCGGACAGCCGTGGTCACCATCTCCAGGGGTCTCTCTCTCGCTCTCCCCCGCTCTGTCCGTCCGCAACAATGGCTGCCAAGTGTAACATGCTACTTTTAATTTGCAATAACACGTGACAATAGCAGATTAATGGCTCTTATGACACCTGTGTCCCTGAAGCTCCTCTTGCCGAGACCCAGTGTACATAACGTGTGTCACACTACATTATCGCTACATCCCTCCTGTAATGGGGGACCTTTTTTTAAGGGCACTGCTGACTTGGAAACTTAGGAGCTGTCCGCCTGCTTGGCAGAGAGCCACAGCTACTGCCTGAAACAAATACTCCGAGCCACACAGCCAATCCATTTCAGCGGGGCGTGTGTTGCACACAGCCCTCCCCTACGTAACCCCTACCCTCCTTTTCCTTCGCCTCATTTTTGTTCATGTTTTCAACCCTTGATAATGACTGCTTGTGCCACAATCATCATGAGGCTTACCGAGTTAAATAGGGCTCAGGCAAGCTACTGTGCTGTGAGGAAATGTAATCCAAGCATTAACTGACTATAGACTACTGCCTACTGAGGGAAGCAAAAATACTTCTGAATAGCAAACAAGGCAACATTGAAGCACAGATCTCAGCTAGAAAAAAACTGCTGTAACCCAAAAATGAGCACGAAACACCCTGAAAGCTGCAAGGACATGCTTTTTACTTCTATGCGTTTGATTTCAGTGCCAGGATTTTCTAGATGCTAAGGGTTATTTGTAGATTCTCGGGATCGTTTACCTTTTTGTGGTTAAGAAAAACACTAACCAGTAGGCCTATGGCTATAGCATTTGATCATTTCCAGACATTTCTCATGACATTTTAGGGCTTTCTTGTGGCAAGAATCTGGCAAAAATGATTTGTACCATGATATAGGGGTTATAATTAAATATATCCCCATTCTATTAACAATGCAAAATGTTACAGTATTAACGAAACGGTTAACTTCCTCATACAATCAGAACAGTGGGATGTGCATTTGCAATAATCACTGTCCGTTTACTTTTTGTGCCTCTGTCCGCCACAAATCCTTGAGTTTTAACAGTTTGTAACTGTAAAGCAGTAGTGTTTTTGAGAATTGATACGGTATCACAAAACATAATATAGCAATAGTCAAGTGCGCTATAATTTACTACTCCTCACTAAATGTCTTGTTTCTGAAAATGTAAATGTTACAGAAATAATGCATGAGTTAATGCCTTGTGAGTGAATGAGAAAACAAAAAAGATGACGCAATCTATCGCAAAATGTGGCATCCGTAATGATTTTCTTACATAAATACATCCCAGAATATAATAATACAGTCTATATACACTCCAGATACATTTTTGCTCAAATGTAAAGTTACTAATGTTAGCAAAAACCTCACAAAATAGGACACAATAACGGCTACGACCCTTTCTCACAGGAAGCCTAACTGCTGCAAAATTGTCAGATTCAGGGTGTTTTTCTTTTCTTTTTGGGGGGCAATGTGCACTTTAAGAGAACAACAACAGGACAATAGTGTCTACAGGGTAACATCCTATGTAATATACTATTCTCACAAACTGTGGCTCCAGGCGAGACATTGCTTCTGCAGCCGTGTGTGTGCGGCCAAGGCCTGGGGTTTATGTTTCGGAAAGATAAAGTATCCCTGACCCCATGGTTGCAGGTAGGCAGCAGCTGGCCATAGAGAGAGTATATAAGAACCACAGCTCCCTCCGTCACCCTCAGTACAAGTTCTACCCTGACGCACATTATCGCGCACACGCACACGCACGCAGAGCTTTCTTCTCTTTCATCGTAATGCTGGCCGAGCACCTAAATCACAGAAATGGCAGCACATCAGGGGAATCATTCGAGACTGAATAGCCGTAGAAACATGGCGCTGTCACCTGGAAGACCTCCACAAAACAGGCTCTCCTCCCCACACACACACACACACCTTATTCCCCTCCATGCCCTTTAATACCTCTTTGCCCTTCAGTAGCAATCTGCATAGAAATGTGTGCGTTCTATCATTCAGGGACTAGACATTACACCCTGGTTAATATGAGAGGTCCTCGAACGACTGAGAATGAACCCTTGAAAATACCAGACGTTTGCATTATGCCTCCACGATTGCATCTCTTACAGGGGAGGACTTGATTATGTCATTTGCCATGTCCACGTCATGCTGGTTTTTATATCTTTGCCAGGAAATCTACCTCTGACAGGTCATTAGTCATCCCTCCCTCCCTGCACGCACATAAAACATCAATTCCACTCAATATCCCGCAAACCCCCGTGCTTCTCGACAAACGCCATAACAAAGAAGACGCTATGTAAACTGCTGCCGTGCTCTGATTAGCTCTCATTCTGGAGCACTGCAGAAATAAGGCACTCATTCCCCACCCTGTTTGAGATAACTGCCCCTTTTCAGCAGCCACATCATCCCTCCGTACCCGAACACGCTTTGCAACATGAGTGCATCTGTTTAGCTATTCTCATCAGACTTATGTAGTGACATTAAGGAAGCCTATTGCTTACAGAACCAATAATCTATATCGCCTCAGGCCCCCTTATATCCACTAACCTACTACTTCAGCAGCAGAAGTGGAGCCACTTTTGTTAAAGGGAGAGGGGAAAAAAAGCCCTCCACCGAGCTGCAGCGGCTTTCTTGACTGACCTGGGTGGTTGGCTACATCATCTTGACATGTAATTATCTAAAGCCCTTTAATCACTTCCATAAAGATTAATTGCAGGAGACAACAGCGGAGGTCGTGTCTTCAAATCAAAAGACTCCTTGGCAGATTGACACAGCGGTGTAACAGAGTTCAGACTTAGGTGTTTTATAAGGGTCATCTAATGGAACTGAAGCAGGTTTTAATGCTGTAATTGCAAGTTCAGCAAAGTGGGTTTTATAGCATAAAGCTGCACAGAGAAAAATGTGTTGCTTTTTTTTTTTGTAGGATCTGAGATATTTGATGCATTCTAACCCTAAACTGATTTTATATCTTTTCTCATCTAGACAGAAAAAAGGTCTTACCTTCATCTCTTTTCCTCTTTTCGCCGTTGGATCGGGGGATACCCAGAATCCCGTTGATGGAGTATGATCCCGCTGGGTCGTTGGAGGCGCTGGTTACAGGCGGAGAGGCTTGGCTTGGTACTGTGGGAAGGACAGTAAGACATTAGCTTGCATTTAAAATAAAAAAACATCAACATTGAGTAAGTTCTGTGATGCTAATGCCTGTGCTACAGTCTTACCTATAGTATGGCCTGGCGTCAGGGACGACCCATCAGGAGACGGATGGAAAGGCTGCTGGACTTTTGTTCGGATGATCCTGGGGAACAAAGAAGAGCAGATGTCACCGCTGCTTTCCTAAAAACCTCAACCCTTCCTGGAGATTTCCCAACTTAGCCCTAACATCAGCTGCTATGGAGATACGGTGTGATTAAGTTATCAAATGTAACGCAAAAGGGATCACTGGTTCTACCTTAAATGTGAGGTGTGGAGAAAAGTCTTCATTGCACTTTTGGTCTGAGTGATTTTGCAAACAAAGCATGAAATCACATCAATTCACCTCAATGATCAGCTTCACTGCCTCTACCTGGCCCACACTAATCAGCTCTCCCCCTCTCCCCCACTGTGGGGGGGGGGGGGGGTTTCTCTGGGACCGATCGCTTTCCCAGAGTAGCCCTTTGCTTCCCAGATCAAACATCTCTGTAGAACCAGCGGCCCCCATGTGCCAATGCGGATGAGGTTGTATTGATCGGGGCTTGGGGAGAAAAAGTTGGGGATTAGTCACACGGGCAAACAGATGCAAATAGAAAGCTATAAATTACATGTGACAGGAAAGCAATAGTTCCTTATTGCCTCGCACAAGCTTACGCCAGCATTAGATTCCTTTAATCTGAATGGCACTTGGGGAGAAAGGGAGCTGTCACAATAATTTGTAAACTTTAAAACTATTCATCATGTATGCCACGAGAGCTATTTTAGAGCACAAAGAGGTTGGGTGAGGCCTGTGGAGCCTTTTGTACTTGATTTCTTTGCACAATTCACATGTGGTTCCTTTGCATGTTTTTATTTCAGAAGGAAAATAATCATCCGCTCCAATGCTAACATTTAAAAATGCCATATAACTGTTGTATTTTCTCCACATACAAAAATGTATCAGATGATTTGGATATTGATGTTATTGTAGGTGCCAGAAGGCTTCAGAGGAATACATCCAGCACTGTCACAAATAAGAAAAGAAAGAAAATCCCCTTGGAGGCAAAGCTACCTAACAACAAGCAATTCCAGAGAGCGCATATTGACGTTTTAATTTTTTTCACTTCTGCCCATAACAGTTATTCGACCCCTTGACTTCTGTGTGTGCTACATAAATTCAAAGACTTTATTTGGTATCCATGTTCTTGATATTGAATAAGCAATTTGGGAGAATGAATTAATGACCCGGTTGTTGCTGAAAATCCCCTGAAGAAATATTAAAATTGCTTTCCTTCTGAATCAATACTATCGAGCGCCATTGAGGACTTTTTTTTATTTTATTGCTACCAACAGGGTAGCGTTACTTGTTGGTTGTGGTGGCCTTGACTCGTAGTACAACACTATCTCTGTCGCATTTAATAATGCATGCAGGCGAAAGGTGTTTAAATAGAGCATCCTCTTTTGTCAACAGTCCTGAGGTCAGACTATCTGTGACACAAACACACCACTGGCCCATAGTCATCCAACTGGAAAACACTCCAAAAACAAGGGAAACTCCTGTATGAAAAACGATCATGTTATATATTTTAAGCCACTTATCTTTTTTATTTTTTATTTTTTTTAACATGTAGTAGCATTAAAAATGATCTTGAGTAGTCTGCTATAGTGATAGAAAGGATGTTTTCATTGATCATATTTTTTGCAGACTGTGTGTGTGTGTGTGTGTGTGTGTGTGTGTGTGTGTGTGTGTGTGTGTGTGTGTGTGTGTGTGTGTGTGTGTGTGTGTGTGTGTGTGTGTGTGTGTGTGTGTGTGTGTGTGTGTGTGTGTGTGTGTGTGTGTGTGTGTGTGTGTGTGTGTTCCATTGTGTGTGTGAGGCACAGAGCAACACATTGAAATCTTCAGAAAAAAAGAGAAAATATTCAGCATTAAGCCGTAATAGAAATTCAAAGTAGCTCTCATATTTGGCTGATAGAATTACAGTTCTTTGTATTCACAATTTAATTTCCCACATAAACAAAGACACATAAGCCCCCCCACCCCCACCCCACACATCCAAAATAGAAAGCTTTAATTGGAATTGAAAAAAATAACTTTATAGGGCTCTTTTAATGATATTAATGTACATTTTGAATTGATCACATGTGTCTGAGCCCTCTTAAATGGGGCTTTTTAAGCAGCCACGAAGCATGAAATGAATTTTCTTCAGCCTTTTCTCTATTTAAAAGATGTCTTGTGTGGAGCTGTCCATGCTCTCCCATCAGCTCATTAAAATGTAATGCTGATGCTGGCTCTATGGAACAGTGCCTCTTAACCAAAGTTCATCACCAGGGATCTCTGCTGGGGGGGTGAGGGGGGGTGGGGGTGTCCTGGGTCCTCATATGTCTGCCACTCTATAACTAGAGTGCTGCTTTAGGAATTTCTTTAAGAACATTGTAGATTTGTAGCATAAATAATGACTTAAATATCGTTATTAGTCATTTATCATTTAAGCGTTTTACAGCCCAGACACAATTGATGCTCGATTTTAAGCATCCTCATAATGTAACATCAATATTAATTACAGCAACCTGGAATTGTAATGCAAGGATTTAAATCAGGAGACTAATTTATAAATGATTTAAATGTTTTTTCTATTATTGCTACAAGCCTACAACATATTTACGTATTTTCTCGCGATGCATGATTTTTACAAATTGCAGCCTATAATGTTTACCCTTTTAATTCTTCAACATAAAACCCTGCAGCAGAAGAGCCATGTTGCTCTGCCTTTCTGTGTGCAGCAGCACATTAGATGTGCTAAAGAAAATTGGCCTGCTTTATAGCGCCACGGGATCTGGTCACCGAATATTGATCGGTTTTCATCTCGACAGATTCACTCAGTTCTGGATGTACTGCTGATTGTTGAGGGAGTTTGGACTGAAAGATTGAATTGCACCTCTGAGACCGCAGAGCCTCGGCGCAGCGGCCAGCACAAAGTTGGTCCAACAATATTCTGCTGTGGGTGGTGCGCTCAGCATATCTGATAAATAACCTGTTTATTAAAGGTTTGCACACTGCACCTCGGAATTTAACCCAAACATAATAACATTTTTAAAAATCTGATTTTTCTCTTTTCTGCATTTGTTTCTTTATATTAGATTTGTTGTCCTACCTGTTAATGGATGAGACGCTGGGCACTGTGTCGTTGTCGCAGACGCCCTCCGCCAGCAGTCTGTCTCTGATCTCCCAAGCAAACATGGTGGGGTTTTGTCTCTTGTAGTCTGCGATTTTGTCCACCACTTTTGGAGTGGCCACTTTAGGTTTAGACCCACCAATCACACCGGGTTTGATGCTGCCAGTCTCGTAATACCTGCAGTCATAACAAATATGTTCCATTGAGATAGCTTGCAATTTTTCTGATGTAATCATACCGATGAGATAGGCGTTTTAAACCACTTTAAACACAATGACACGCACATGCTGTTGAGTTTTACTGAGAACTACTTATTTTCAAACTTTCTCCAGCAAAACATCAAACTTGAAAATGCGTTTTCGTTTCCCCATGATGTCTCAAATAAAACACATTTTTTTCTTAAAAATGCAAAACATAACTCATAAGCGCATGCACAAATACACGGCAAGGATGTCATTCTGTAAATACAAATTGAATAATTCCAACAAACACTTATAATAAAATGGAGGAGAAGCCCACCTGAACTCTACTGACCTTCACAAATAGCGTTAATATAATAATTTAGGGCCAGTTATATCTAATTAACCCTATTTCAGAATTAGAAACGCTTCTGAGTTGTGCAGGTTGAGCTCTCCTCCACCTCCACCACTGAACATCGTGCACATATCATCCACCACCTCGCACCCCGCAGAGTGTACCTGGCTGCAGGGCTTGTCCGGAGAGTGTTCACCCACCTGCCCAGGATCTTGCTGACGCAGCCGTGGCTGACCCGCAGCTGTCTGGAGATGTCGCAGGGCCGAACCCCCTGGTGGGCCAGCTCCACGATCCGCTGCCGCACCACGTCCGGGAGGGGTCTGCCGTTCACAAACACCCCGCCGAGCTGGTTCACACCCCCGTGCCCTACGTGGGATACAACAGCCGCAAAGACACAACCATGACATTACATAAAGTTGTAATGGAGAGGATGGCACAGGTGAGGTTTTTTTGTAATATTAGTCAAGACAAAAATTACGGGAAATAGCGTCCAACATTTTTTTAAGGTCAGTTTACCTCATGTGTTTCTATGGAGCAGGAGATTTTACATGCAGGCTATTTATGGAGAAGCCTTAAGGGTGCATGAAATACTGCACATACATATTCCTGTTTGAAAATGATGCGTTTATACAAAAAATACATGTATTTTGAAATATTTTGGAATCAGAAAGTGGTTTTCTTTCTTTCTTAAACCTTTCATGCAGAACAAATAATACTATTTCGTCAGTAATTCGAAATAAATATTGGGTACAACAGGATTTCAATGATTTAGAAATAAAAAAATACATGATGACCACACTGCAAGTGTCTATAATGAATGTACATGCTATATATGTTTGTATTTATTTAAAAAAAAAAAAAAATGGACACTGCAGCAGACAATATTTATTGTTTTTGTCCTTGCATATTGATGTGTATTTTTCCCTCCACTTATGATCAAAACTATGTATCTTTAACTTTTTGAATCAAGACGAATTATCCTACAATCATGTATTTTCATTAATGTTTTTTGAAATAAACAATTGTGTAAATTCAAGTGCTGGACACTAACCCATGCTGCACATTATTTTCCATCTGTCACACTGTTGGTGTGCAGCTTGTACAATTCCTACAATACGTCCAACCTGCAATGACCCATAAGTAAGTGGGTCAGTGTTAAAACTGCTATTTAAATTCCCGATAATAATTAATAAATACAAATTCGAGTGTGCAGTAAAGTTTCTCCCATTCAAAACAAGGACCTCATATTTTCCTCGCAGCTCCACGGCTCATGTTATGCCTATTAAGTTACATGCTCTCTCATTTTCCCTTCACGGCAATTTTAAATAATTGAACGAGCTTTGATAACTCATATTACATATTATTTAGTAAACGAAGAGCTCATCCATTATTTACACACATTCACCAAATTACAAGCATGCGAGCTTAGGTTGGACTCGAACACCTTGCTGTTATTTGAATAATTTGAATAATAGATGTGTAACTGTCTCACTTATTAGGCCTGAACACACACACACACACACACACACACACACACACACACACACACACAGCGCGGGAAGCTGCAGGCAGATACACGTGTAAATTACAGAGTACCTGCCAGCGCATGTTCTTTGTTTACTATGACAAGTTTTAATTTCTGCACACCTCTGCTTTGTGTCCGGAAGTAATGCCATCTATATTATTTTAACATGTTATTATTTTTTTTAGCAGAATATTCTCTGAAATGTGCACACAGAAGATATTAGAGGGACTATTTTCTCCTCTTGTCATCCTCATGTTTGCCTACTACATGTCAGTTTATTAGCCAGTTTTAATGCGCCAAAATGCTGTTGGCACACAACACTGCACATGCTCTTTGCTGCAGGCCTTTGTAATATGCGGAAATATTATATTCCTATTATTATGAAGCTGCGGAGAAACTCGGGTTGTGCTACTTACAGTGCATCGCGGTGAAGGGATCTGCTTTGCAGTGAATATCCATTGGATAGCCAAGGAAAGACAGATAATCAACTGAAGTCGCCGTTTCGCCTTCCTATCAAGGATGAATATGTGAAGAAAAAAAGGTGCTTCTACTCGATGGAGGGACTTAGTTTGCCCCCTCCACCCCCTCGCTTCAACAACCGATCTGACGGCAACTTCTTCCCCCAAAAGTTGCCCGGTGTTTCTTCAACAGTCCGGTCCGGCCGCGGAGGTCTGGCAGGTGCGCAGCATGACCGAAGGACTGTGTTTTAGTTTATCGCTATTTGTTCTTCTTCAGAAGCCTTCAGTGAGCAGTAGAGGTAATTCTCACAGTTTGTTTTTAAATGAAACGGTGATGTCCAGGGCCCGGTATGTCCTCAATCCTCGTGGCCTTGATTCACGCGTGAAAACGGCGGAGAAAACGCGCACACACACACACTGACACACACCGGGTTTGTGTTGAGCGCAGGATGCGTAGGGCTGGATCTTTGGGCTGGGAATGAAGCCTCTCTCTGTGTCTGTGGTTCTAAAAGCTGCAACCCTCCCCTCCTCTTCCCCCTCTCCTCCCCTCTGCAGACCCCCCTTTTGCTTATATGGATGACTTGTCAGACAAAGGCAATAGATGCCAACACTTTGTGATTCGCCAACGTTAAAAAAAAAAAAAAAAGAGAAAAAAAGCTGGGGTCCAAATGAGGAGGTCTATGGGTCTGACACACCGGCAGGAAGGGGAGGGAGATAAATAAGGAATGGATTGTGAGTTAGAAATATCAGACTTTATTAGACATCATAACAGCTGTGAAATATATGCTCGCTTACTGGAAGTTTTGAATCAATGAAATAGAGATTATTTTTTACATTTGTGTTTCTTTTTTTCTTTTTATTACACGGACTAACAGCCTGTCTCTGCATGGGAATATACATTATCTCTGTAAGTGTCCCCACAACCCGGATTTAGCTTGATCCTGTTTTGAATTTTTTACTTTTATTTCGTTTTGTTTTTCCTCCTCAGTCTTTATGTCTGCTCTGGAACTCAAGTAGGCCTAAATAATTTGTTTATATAATTATTTACTGCTTAAATTTGATATATTTGTTTTTAAGCCATTGGTTAATGTCTTTAAATGTAGACTATAAACCTGTTTCCGTGTCGCTGATGGTGTGATGACTGCAGTGGTCCATGGGAGCAGAGGTGGAGGTTGGAGGTGAACCTGCCGCAGTGCCGCTGAGCTTCTGTAGATGGCGCTGTATGGTTTCTCAAAATGTAAAGGCGATATCAAAGTAGTCCAAAAAAGTCAAACTTGGGCTGCACCTGAGTGCTTGTGATCAAACTGACAGGTCACAAATGTTCTCCTGGAACATTTATCAATGAACTATAGATCCATGGAATGTGTTGAAAACGATAGATGTCTGAACCTGCAGTATACAGGTTAACTAAGCAATGCCTTATGGAGTCATGGTGGAGTCAGGATGCTTCGTTATGGATTAAATTAATATAATAATTTACTACATAATGAATCCAAAATATATCAATTTTTATTTTTGTATTTATCATATTATTATCTGATCCTTTAGATCAAGTATACAACAGATACATAGCCTATATCACTAACTTCATTTTCGAAGCACTTAAAGTTTTTTCACAGGGGGAAACAAATAAGGCAGCAGTAAACGAAACTCGAATAAAATAATATATATATTTTGTACTATTAACAAATTAAATAATATAACAAATATTCAATAAATGTGTTCGTTATTCTGAAGTGACAATATCACAAATAAAATAAAATCACATCATCATATATATAATCATATTTCTCCAAATAAAATACATGATTTGACTGTCTAAATGCCCCTTTTATTGTTTCTTGCACGCGCACTTGCCACATTTTGACCATATTTTTTAGGATTGGGGGGGGGGGGGCATATCTTAGGGGCAGACGGCCACAGCTCTGCCTCCTGGTCAGGTTAGGGGATGATTTCTCTTTTTGTTACAGTTTTTGGAGTGAGCTTCTGGTACAATATGTAGCACTATAGGCTGTAATTTCACACCCGGCTGCACATTTCCCTTAAAGCTACATTCTTTTTTCCTCTCCCCCCCATATAAGACCCCCACCACCACCACCATCATCCCCTCCCTCAGTTTACCCTCCTGCTCCCCACAATTTGATCTCCCCAATGCAAAAATTAAGCAGAAGTAAGGAAGGGGGAGGAGGTTGTAAAAGAAAATGCTGATATTGTTTTTTTAAAACACATATCAAACGACGTGTTGACATGATTACTTTGTTTAGTTTTTGTTTGAACAGCACGTGTGGTGTGGCTTATTTGACTATGTGGTCAGACGGGCCCTAACCCCTGTCTTTTTAGGAAGGGGGCCCATCCATTCAGCTGCTACAACACCGGGTCAAAGAGCTCCCAAAAAGCCATTTAAACAATACAAAGGCTGAATCAATTATCACTTTTTTGTTGTTGCAGAAAAGCACCTTTTTAATTTATATATAAATACTTCAAAACACCCGACCACTGGAGACAGAAAACAGCATGCATTTATTGAATTTTCAGACAAATTTAAAACAATTTGCATACAAGTACGCACTCATTTCCGCCCTGACGCACAACTGCAGTATTTAAGACGGTGCCACTGCATGTCAAGAGTTTGGAAAATGTTTTTGGAGCCCGGGTGCTCCCATTAGGAGAGGTGTAATGTATTGACAGAGAGCAATTTATCTTTTGCCCCGCTTCCTAATGGCCTGTGCAGAGAGGAGAGAGGAGAGGTGGCATGCAGGGGGGGGGGGGGGGGGAGGATAGCACCACCGAGGGTCCAGCATGCAGCTCCACCCGCCGAACATCAGCTCACACTCTTTAGGAAACTGTGGGGAGGATGATGGAGGCTCCGTGGTAAAGAACTTTTGGGAGAGGTGTCATTTATTGTTTTTTTCTTTCTCTCCTCTCCACCTCCCGTGTAGACTGCTGGTTGTCTCGCGTTATTCCAACACGTCACCAATCGATCCCTGCAAAGGGGAGCTGACACCTCTGGTTGTAAGTTGAATATTAATCCTTTTCGATTGAAGAAGAGAGGCTTCGGAGGAATCTGTGGCGACATTTATGCTGATTTTGGACTATTTATAAAATCTTAAAAATAATGTAAAACATGTATGAGTTTTGCATGCTTAAATAAATCATAAAATAGTATTTTTCATGCTATTTAAATGGCAGCAATTTGCTCTTTTAATGCATGCAAATGAGTGATAATTGTGATATTTGTTTAGGTTTTTATATTTGATGATACAGGAGGAGATTTCCGAAGCTGCAGCCCATAATCCTGTAACACTAACACACATATCTCCTGACACTGTTACTGTATATTGGATTTGTTCACTGTGTCCCTGTGCTCCAGCAGCGAGCAGCCACAAACACTCCCGGGCTACAAATCTCTGCTGGCGTGAACAGATGGAGCATCAATTTGATTCCATCCTCGACACCGTGAAAGATTGATTTTGCACTTGCTTTTAATTTTGCCCATAATTAATTGGATCATTACAACTGTTTTCCATGGATCCCCTCGTTTAAATGTGAAATTACAATGTGATCTATGTTTATTTTCTATTTATTTTATTTGTGTATGTGTCCTGTGTAGGAACATGCTAAAATAAAAAATAAAAACACTTATTGTACATTTTAAAATAATCAGTTATGTTAGTGTTACTTGCGTTTGCAATAGATTTTAACCAACATGTATATTTTATAACGAGTTATACACTTAGTATATAACCTTTGAAAGTGGGCTATTGATTCAAACACACACACACTGGTCCTCTTCAGCATCTATTAACGAATTTCTTAAGAGAACGAGATTCTTATTGTTTTCTGTATTTTTGGATAGCTGTATGTGATATAATGTCCCTGTAATTGTCCTGTTTTAGCCTTGGTAGCCTACAAATTCAGATTTTATAATTGGATTATAATTAATAACCAGTTTTGTAATAATTCGTTAATTAGTCTCAATCTCTCTACCTACATATTTGACATTTAAAAAAATAAATATTCTGATAAATAGAATAACACACTTCTCAGACACGTAAGTCAACATTTACGTTTTCAACTTCAACTTGGTTCACGTCACGTGACTTGAGATTGACCAGTGTCTCACACATCAGTAATACATGATTTATTTAATTTCAGTCGTCTTCCTTGAGTTCAGGGATGTGCTGGTGAGTAAACCCATTCATTTTAAAGGTTGTTATTGTTTCTATACGTTTAGAAATCTGTAATCAATTTCAAAGGTTGAAATTTCACACTATAATACAAAAAAAAGTCGCATTTATGTTTCTATTGTTCGATTTCCAATTTACTGCCACCTTTATTTACCCTGGTAATAAATGTGTCAGTTTAATGCAGCCAATTTAACCGTTTACTGTCTCTGATGGGGAATCCTCAAAAATGAAGAATAGACGTAAAAGTCAATGCGGAAGTTTACAGCAGTCAGGCTCGTATTTCAGAAGATAAATTACACAGGAAAGACTTTGAGCTGCATTTTCTCTTAAAACTCTTATAATATCTTCATGTTGGCAGGTCGACTGTTCAGCTGATGGTCTGTCCCGTCATTAGTCACACACACACACACACACACACACACACACACACACACACACACACACACACACACACACACACACACACACACACACACACACACACACACACACACACACACACACACACACACACACACACACGCACACCACACACAGACACGTGTACTGGAGTGGTTCCAGTGATGCTGTATTGTATTAAAGATCCAAATGCAAGGGAGATCAGGTTACATTACTTTGATTAGAAAACACTTTGTTAAATTACTTTTCATACCCTGAGCACAAACGCAGTCAGACAGTTGAGTTTCTGAGCTTTTCCATGCCTCAGGTACAGCAAATCATTAAGAAAAATTAACATCTCATTTGCATTTAAACATGGAAGAAGGGCCAAATTACAAAGAAATAACATTACATATTATTATTAATATTATTATTA